AATGTGTTTTCAATCCACTAAGCTGGGGGGAGTGGGGGATTTCCCCCGTAGCAACAGGTCACGGGGCCGGGACTCACCCAGGGAGGACACGAGGGCGAAGTTCTCCAGCATCACGTCCCGGTACAGGCGCCGCTGAGCCTCGTCCAGAAGCCCCCACTCCTCCCGGGAGAAGTACACGAACACGTCCTCGAAGGTCACACAGCCCTGGGGACGGGGACAGCTCAGCCCACAGGCAGCAAAGCACCCCTCCCAGCTCTCACTGCTCCCACGGGCACCCCGGGCCCCCGTCCTCCCCAGCCCTCAGCTCCCAGAAGACACCAGGCCTCGGCACGGCTGGCGCCCCCTGTCCCCCTATAACCTCTGATCTCCGAGTCCAGCCCAGAGCGGGAGCAACTGGTGAGCCAAGAGACACTGTTAGGGGCAGAAACAGACTATTGGGGAGCAGCTATCGTTCTAAGAAACAGGAATTGCCCTGACCGGTGTGGCTCAGTGGATAGAGCATCAGCCTGCGGACTGAAGGGTCCCAGGTTTGATTCCGGTCAAGGGCATGTACCTTGGTTGCAGGCACATCCCCAGTGGGGAGTGTGCGGGAGGCAGCTGATCGATGTTTTTAACTCTCTATCCCTCTCCCTTCCTCTCTGTAAAAAATCAGTAAATATAAAAAAAATAAAAATAAAAAAGAAATAGGAATCATGGTCTGTTAACCGTGACTGTTTGGCTCTGATGAAAGAAAACACATTCTGACGTGGCTGGGAGCTGCACATGGGGTCTGAGAGCTTATTTATATATACACACATATAAATAAAATAATGGGAGACAGCGACCTAACCATCAAAGGACCTACGTGGAGTCCCAGGTAACCCAGGGCTGTCCGTGTTGGAACAGACACTCACTTAGGATCCGACCCGTCTCCGCTGAACGGGCTCACATAGTGACAGGCAGCCGGACCCTTGGACTGTCCGGGTTCAAGTCCATGCAAACTGGGGGTCTGGCAGGAAGGGGCTCCCCCCACCCCCACCAGCCAGTCCCCCGAGTGTCGCCCAGACCCAGGCCTCCCTCCATAGGTTTCCACGCTCCCCGCTCCCCCTCCCGCCCGCCTCGCTGCCAGGCTCCGTGCTGCCGCCAGGGGACCCCGAGGAACGAGATGTGCGTTAAATCAGCCCCGTCCTCTGCGCCCCAAACTTTCCCCCGGGAAGCGCAGTTCCCCAAGCCGCCCCGCCAGCCCCGACCCCCCCAGCCCCACCTCCAAGCCTTTCGCGATGCCTGTCCCGGGGCCCGGCCGGCCCTGCCCGACCCATTCCCCACGCAGAACCCGGACCCCGGCCCGG